TGGGCACCTAGTTGACCAGTTTTCTTTGGTTTGCGACAAATAACTCGCCACTTTGCGTGGCCTCAATAGATATAGTACATACGAGTCGACCCTTGCCTCGACAAGGCTCCCGCTCAGCCCGTCATGCCGCCGGAGAATTCATTTTTAGTCCCAGTGTGATTCCAGGGGGGTCATGAAATCTGACCGAAACGGACAAGGCTGCCCCGATTATGACAGATAGACCTCGTTGGTGGGGTGCAAACAACACACCCCGATTGATAGCTCCTGGCCACCAAATAACCCTGGCGTCACTCGGCCGCAGATTTTGCAAAACAGAAAACATTCAATCTTCATCGAAGCCCTTCCCAACTGCTTCCTTGACCAGCTGAATGCTGATTGTGAAGAGTTGAGAGTATGTGACTTCTCGCTTCCTGCTTTCCTGACGATCCGTCCTGTCTCACAACTGAACGGCTGGCCACCACTAGAAGACGCAAGCACGTTGGACTAATCCAGAACAGTACGATGCGCATGAGAGATCAGAACAAGAGAGACGTGGCAGAAACATTGCCAACTGTCTGATACACAGAAATTGCTTGCTCTTCCTCTGCTGGGCTCCAGTCATATCATGATCAACCTCGATGGTCGGCAGAGATACAACGAGGCGCTTGCTGGCTTCACAAGAGGCTAGCTCCGGTTGGACGCCAGGGTGCACATCCCTGTGATACTCGGCCAGACGACGACTTGGGACTTGCAGTAGTATTGAGGAACGGATTCTAGCCTGGACTTGCCGCGTCGAGTTACTGGCACTTGTTATATTCTGTCTCAGTATTGGTAGCCATGCCTTCTTCTCTCATATGCTGAGAGAAAATGAGGACTGATGTTACTGATATTGGTGTCCGCGACACCCAAAAATGTTCCAATATTGGATAGACTTTGTATCGTGCAACTCCGATGTGTTGAGGGCGAAGTTGCTGGATCCAAGAGCGATTACAAAGGGCCTTGGCTTAGCTCCCTCCAATGCGAGGTTTGGCTAAAGTTTGATCTCCAAGTAGCGGAAACAGTTGTCACTGGACGAATATATTCTCTGGTGGAGTGTCGAGAGCTCCGCTGTTGGTGGCAATACTATCATTGAACGAACTTGTTTGGCTTGGACTTGCTTTTCCTTTCTGGCGAGCCGGCGAACCAAGATTCGGCAGGGCGCAAAGCAAGACCGGGGTCAGTCAAGCTCTTAACAGGATTACAGGGGTATCAACACTGGCCAGCTGAAGCGACGGGCATGCCGTGGCACGTCAATGGATGTGGGAAGGGGGATGTGACCTGTCGCCCTTTGCCGGAGATGCGCTCACAGTGGCGGTTGCCGACGCTCGGGCTGCCTTTTGCCATGTGGAAGACGGCTTGCCTGTGAATTGCTCGGCGAGCTCACTCTTTTTGCTAGCACTAGGTACCTACCTAGGTAGGTACCTGGCTACTGGGCTTTACACTGTTGTACTATATTGTACTATATTAGCATATACTTCACGGTATGTAAATATATTCTGCCGTAAATTGCTTAGGCATATATGGGTAGAGTTTAAATCCGATAAATTGTAAGGGGATAAGCGCACCTAGCAAAAACTGTCCGGTAAGCCCGCCGAGCAATTCACGCTTGCCTAGTGCGGTTTATGGCCCGAAGCATCGGAAACATTCCCTCTCTCACTTCTTGCCGAACCCTTCTTCCGGGGAACATCGTCCAAGGATTCTGAGTTGAATGTTGTGGCCATCCCGAGAGCCTGGCTCAGGCGTTGAAGGTCTCAAGGTCTCCACGGCACCTGCAGGGCCGGTCAATGCGATTCGGCTTGGTGCCACAAATATTCCGGCAGTACTTCCAAGTTCGTAGAGCGGGCAGTTACCATGCACGCATGGAGTGTCTGGTCGATTTTGCCGAGTATCGATCGGCATGCTCGTCCCATCAGTCTGGTTCCAGATACACGAGGTACTGTTGGGCAGTTCCTGCAGTTCGGAGGGCTATCAACGGGTGGGATGCCTTGGCATTGAGAGAAAGAACAGAAAATAGGAAATAAATATAAATATAAAAATGGGTAGGTGCTTGAAGGTCATCACCTGGCCGGGCGCCGAAGTGCGGTGACGATCAGTCACAATTTGTCTCGTCAATTCCAAAGTCGAATGGCAGTACGGAGTTAATACTACCAAGTCGCGTCCCGACTAGGTACATACTAGGTACCTGCATACTTTTGTTTTGGTACTGACCAGGTAGTAGTTGGAGGTACCGCGTAGGCTGAGACCACGAAATCAGGGAGGAGCGACCGGTTGGCAAAACTGTCAACTGGTGCAGGTGAGAGTCGCGGTAACTGACATGACAGGAGCGAATTGCGACCACCAAATCATCACTCAGCGGCATCCCAAACCACCACCGTCGGCGCGGATTTTGCGCGCCAGGACCCAGGGGGCATTCAGCAGCCATTTATGCCGGGGTCCACCTATGAGCATCTGTCAAGTTCAATTGACACTTGAGATCTGGCTGGCTAGACAAGCGCGCGGTGCCTCGCCCTCCCGCGGCTTGGCTTCTTCCTACAAGGGTTTGGGGGTTTTCGGTGGTGATGACATCAGGTCCCGTCGCTTACGACCAGGTCTCGGAGATAAACTCGCAAAGAACATCAACACGAGGAAAAACAAGCATGTTGCCAACTTTCGCTTATAATTCCTTTGCTTAGCACTGACACCTCAGTAGCTGACTCGAAGAGCCTGTGCCGCAACTCTTTCACCCTCAACTCGGCTCATCTAGATTACCAATGAAAGGAGAGGCCGTAGGGAATGCGACTGGGCGATGATGACCAGAAGGGGCCACCCTTCTCTTGAAAGTCTCAAGATGGCATTGCTTGCTCAAGTCACGATCCTGGGCGGCCTGAACAGGTGGGGCTTCGATTTGTTTGACCTGATTGTACGGAGTACTTCGTACAACCAGATCTACAGGTCGATTTGATGGTGCAACTGAATCCGAAATCGACCACTCACCAGAGTCTTGGTCGCCTGTCACACCCATGTGCTGGCTGTCAGCTGGGCCACAGACTAGTAGGGAACAGCCACCCCCAAATCGCTTCAAGGACCCTTATGTAGACATAGACGCGGGCAACCAACCCTGCCTGCGTCTCCAGCTCGACGTCGGCACCCCTGACCTGGTCGCCCTGTCAAGGCCAACTTTCCCTGGACGCCGCCGGTTTGTGGCCACTGCTGGGCTAATTAACAAATATATGGAATCAGTCACTCTCCATGGCTTTGCCAACTTGTCTCATTCCATGCTGTGGTGGCATCGGCCTTGGCCAAATCTGGGCGGGTCGGAGAGAAGACAGGACTGTGAGCAAGACGCTGTCCTTTGGCGAGGAACCCGATTACACAGCCAAGAGCTGTGTGATGCTACGCGGACATGTGCCACTTCGATCTGTTATCGAGGTTCGATGTCCTGTTCCATGATGCGATGTGCTTCGATTGACGAGGGCCAGAGTAACTACCAATCGGTGAAGACCAAGAATACGTAGAGTAACAACACCTTCGTCTTCTGTATGGAAACTGAGACCCTTCAGCCGCTGTCAATGGGGATTACACAGGAAGCGACAAGGTTGGCTGTGGTTGATCATGTTGGTCGCCAGCCATCTCACCTGGTTTCTGCGGCCCCAGCCTGGGTAAGAAAAAAAAAAATCTACACGACGAGCCTATGCACCAGTGGATCAAAAGAAACACCACTCAGCATCCCAGAGGATGGAGACTACGACTATCGTGGATCACGACCCAGCCACGGACCACCAAGGCTTCCGCGCGGCTGCCTCCCTCCCTGCCTCCCCACTGCTACTAGTACTTGCAGCCTGAGCACCTCGCATCGCAGAGGCCTCGTGCCTGCGGTCACACAAACACCAGACACAACCATGGTTCCCAGGCTCGCCTACACTCCCCTGTCGCCTTCGGTTTCCAACTCTCTGTTCGTCTCGTGTTTCATTCAGCAGACAAACAAGGCTGAAAGCGCAGGGAGTGGTAACTTGCAGGGGTGATGGATCTTGGCTCGGACCACGCTCCCATGTTCCATGTTCCCATGTTCCCGGGTCCAGCCAGTCGACGCCACTCCATCTGGCTTCCGTCTCCAACCCACGAACTTGAGCTCCTTTTATACATGCCGGCATGGGCCAATCTGGAGCCCCCCTAGTAGCAATACCTGTGTCTGCCATGCTTCATATGTATTTTGTGATTCACTTTTGACCGTCCTCCTCCCCTCTCCAGTCTCGCTCCCCCTGGTCTGAATCCATATCCGCCATTGTTCGCATCTCGCCCAGCCGGCTGGCTCCAATCACAACCCGCCATCGAACCTGTGAATGTCTCTCCGATTGCCGTATTTACATTCATCCAAGTCTAAGTTGACCTTCAAGACGTTTCACCGCACATCACTGCTCACACCCCCTCTGCCCTTCTAGGCCCTTCCACCAACCCCATTGCAACTCTTGATATAGAGGCAGGCGGACATGAGAGTTTCCATGACACAAGACATAAAAGGATTATCGCGCCACTCTCTCTGGCAACACATTCTCAGCAACTGGTATGATATCTTACCCTGGGGCATCTATCAATATCTCTTCGGCTCTACAAGTAGTCAGCAACTTACAACCTTGATAGAAAGGAGCGTCTCTCGGACTTTGTCATCTACCTGCCGGGGCTCCTTCCGCATCATTGAAGTCAGTGCAGGAGGCGCGCCCCTGCTTTTGACTCTTGTTTGTAAAGGGAAGCTTTCTCAACAATATATCTGCGTGTCACGCACGGTGCTTGGGTCTATTTGCTGTTTCAGCAGTGTCTTCTACATATAACTATCCGATTCCCAGGGCCCAGGACGTTTTTTTAAAAAAGAAAAAAAATCAGGCTCCTATTTAATCGGCACGTTGGACCCTACGACCACAAATCACCTCAGTCGACAGTTATGTGTATCGCTGGCACGAATCATTAGCTGTTCTAATTTAGGAAACATCATAATCCCTCCCTTCGACATGCCCAGGCAATTTCAGCATGTAAGTTTGTACTACTTGGTAGTTCTTCTTCTCGACCAAACGGCGACAAAAATGGGCACCAACTGACGAGACACATCATCTCACAGCCCTTTCAAGAATCCCAGTTTGATATCTTCGAGTGGTACCCGAGATTTCAGTCCTGTCACAGATTCTTCATTGAGCATGCTCAGCACACCAATCCTGTACAGGCCGTAGCAGCCTTGGTAAACATCCAACTACCATTTGAAAAGATCTCTAATCAGAGTTCCGCTGCCACGCCAAGTCCTTCGTCTTCTTCGGGGGCAGGGCGCGGAAACGTAGCCCTCGTGCCCTTCATCAGACGACTGGTTGCTACGGGGTTTGATACACCCTCCATTCTGCTTGGCTTTTTCGGCGACGATTGGTCTGCAGGAATAGGTCCTATTCACGAACAGGAGCGGAGAAACTACCTGTTTGCTGCAAAGAGCGAGACATGGCTCAGAGTCAAGGCTGATTACGACATGGAAAATGGGCAGTCCGTTCCCTTCCTCCGCCCACTTCAAGGCGTTACCGAGAAGGAAATCGTTAACGCAGAAGCCAACTGGAGCGATTGGCTGGCAATGCAGGACTGGATGCTAGGACCGAGAGCACCACCGGGAGAGAATGAGTTGCATTCATCAAGGGGGTCTAGAGACTGAGGGGCAAGACCTCGGCAGGCTAAGAGTATTGCATTTTTACTCTTTTCTGGAAGCGACTCGGGTAGGATTTGTGGAAATTTCATGATAGGACTGTGCTATACGCTCTTTTTCTGAAAAATCGTTTTGCTTATACTGCTCGCAATTGGCTCTCTTTTGTTTTGGCGGAGAGGCGTTATACCCCTTGGTCAGGCTGTTGAGCGTATGGTCATGTCCGAACCGTGCTCCACCAAGTATCATCTACGACGTTTATCCTGTCGAAGGAGCTTCATTTAGGCGCGTATATCACAGTTGTCCTTACTAGCACACCACATCACTTCCACATACAATAATGATACTTTTAAAAGCGCGTAAAAGTGGGTCAGCTTGCTCTATTTTTGGGGGTTATTCAGTAACCTCAGTGTCAAGTGTTGCATTATGTACAGACAGTTGCAATGTCAGGTCGTCAATATGAAGTGATGACGGTTTTTGGGGGGGGCAGTGAAGGGGGATCAAAAAGTACATGGCCGGTTGAAACGCCGCGTCAAGACAACACCATGGGCCTGAAATCGGCGCCGTTGTTGAAAAAAAAAAAAAAGAACCAAGAAGCCTTCCCCTGATTTCCTGCTGACGTCGGGAAACGAGTAAAGAAAAAACAAGTCAAAACCATGAGGGCTAACTTACTCCCCTAACCGCACCAATGATGCAAATATGCCTTCTTTCCGTTGACAATGTCCGCCTAACGCCACACAGCCATAATCCAAAAACATAGATGGATTGCTCTTTCGTTCTTGCGTCGACCCTTTTCTCTTCCGCATTTCTCTCAAGTCAATTCCATAGTTCTGACTATATGAGAGAGTGATGTTGGAATATGGTCCAAGCCTGCAAAAGAAGAAAAGAACAGAAAAGAAAATTGAAAGCTTGTATTATGATAGGGAGATTTATACAAGAATGGACCAGAAACGGAACTCTGGCTCCCATTCTAGGTAGGTTCGGAAGTTGCCAAGCTTGGGTAGTGATAAGAATGTGCGAGAGTTTCGGTATTAGTAGGGAAAGGTAATTTTCGAGGCTTAATTAAGGAAGCCCTTGCAGGCCGCGGTACCGCAAAGGCATGGAATACGGTCCAAGCTGCCAATTTCTCGCTCGAATTTGTAGTCGTATGTCAATTCCTCATCTGTAGACATCATGTCAGCCAGGTGGTTCTACTCTAAACTCAGGCCACTTTACTCTCCAAAGAAAGTTACTCACTCATTGCAATGTCACGGAGGGCATATATGACAATTCTCTTGCTGCCTTCGACTTTGATAATCTTGGCTGTACAATTCGGCATGCAGCTGTGATTAATGAAACGTGCAATGCCCCCCTTCTTGGTTGCATCAATGACAGTATCGTCATCAATGCGGAAAAGGTAGCTACTCCCAATACCGCTCTTGAGATAACGGTTCTCTCGAATTTCCGCGATTTGTTGACGGACTTCCTCACCAACGTACTCGATAATCATGTCGTCCTTGTTGATATTTTCCATGGCATAAAGGCCCCAATTATGGATAGCAGATCGAGCAAACTTGACGGGCTTCTTCCGCTTCTTAAGCTGGTTGAATTTGAAGACATCAGAGTCCTGCCCAAGCGTCTTCTTTTGGTCATTCAGATCGGCAACATAACGACGGTTTGTAGCCCGATTGGCGCGTGAGTTGCCTTTGGCGATCTTCTCAGCTGCAATCTTGGCTGCTTCAGACGCGGCATGGACACTGTCTTTGCCGTTCCTCTTGGACCGTGCCTGGCGTTCTTCTCTAGCCTTCTGCACTTTGATATGATGTGGCAGGTATTTCGATTTCTCAGAGTTAAGAATCTTTTTGACTCCTTCAGTACGCGCACAGCCGGTGGCATTCGGAACGTAGTATCCTCCAATAGACACCGGGTGATTGGAAGAGTTGCTCGTCGAGTTCAGTTCTCTGACACGGTTGCGCTTCCATAACCAAAGCTCTGCGTTTCCAACATCGGCAACGCTAAACTTCTTTTGCAGCTTGGCTAAATCAGGCTTGTCTTTAATGCCAAGAGCCAGGTTCTGCAAAGCAGCAATGTCGGGTTTGAAATCGTCGTGCAGTATGAGAGCGGCGGTGAGTGGTGTGGTAGAAAATAGTCGCTCATCATATTTGTCAATAGGTGCATCAGCTTGAGGAATGCCCTCCTCCTCCACCTTGGCTGGCAAAGAGAGCTCCTCGTCGCCTTCATCGCCGAGCTCCGCCTCTTGCTGCTGCTTCAGAGCTTCCTGCTCCTCCAAGAGTTGCTTCTTGGTTTTTTTCTTCGGCTTTACGGCCTTCTTCTTTACACCCTTCAAAGTTTGAGGTACGGGTGTCTCCGGTCTGGACACACCACTGTCAAGGTCACCCAGCAGATCAACATCAACACCAATGTCTGTAGATGCCCCGCGTCCGTCAATATCCGTGTCGATGCGGCTAATTTTGACACCAAATAGTTCTTCATCGGACTTCTTTTGTCGCTTAAAAGCCTTCTCAATGGAAGCTTCCAACTTCCTTTTCTTCAACGATGACCGATCTAAGATGGCCAGGCTAGATTCTGTCATAGAGTCGTCGTCTCCACCGCGACCCCAAGAGCCAAATTCGTCATCCGTACTCATGCGACTCCGGGGTCGCGATTCAGGCTCTTCGGTGTCACGAGCAGCCAGCGCTCTAGTGTCAGTGTCATCGTCGGACTCAAAGTCGCTGTCCAGACTCTTGAAACGATGGTGCAAGGAACGGAAAGCACTTCTCCCGGCAGACTGGCGCTTCCGTGAAAAGGGATCAACAAACATATTTCGGTGGCTGCCCTTAGCCTTAACTTTTCGTATTCGGGGCAGTGCTTTTGCCTCAAGTCGTCCGGTTCGCCGTTCAATTGGATCCGCTCCTGAATTCGGTGTCCCAATCCTCGGGCTATTGCTATCGTTGTCTTCATCGTCATCAATCTGGTCCAAGTTGAATTTTCGTCTCTTGGCGACATGGTTGGATGGATTGAGGAAGTCAGAGAGGCATGGTGCAGCCACCTGTGTTCGAATATGCCGTATCAGGTGCTCCGTCATTTCTCGTCGAACCGCCTCCACGGCCTCGAAGACAGGATCAAAGTTCTTAGCTCTCTGTTTCTTTTCTTCTTCGAGGTCTGCTTCCTCTTCTCGCCGACGTCGTTTTGTTTCCTCATGCCGTCGCCGTGCTAACAGCTCTTGGTCCCGTTCCCTATCTCTCGGGGGTGGGGGAGAAGGACTGCGTCTGCGTTCAGCGTCCGCACCACGAGTTGGTCTTGGCAAGCAAAGCTGCATCGCCATGTCATAGTTGAAGAATTCGGTATGATTGACGGCTCGGTAGCACCGTTCTGCTTCTGACTTGCCCGTAAACGAGTTTCGAAAGACAACGTAGAAGCCGGTACGGTCGAGACGAATTTCTTCAAACCCATAATTCTTTAATCGTTTCTTCATGTGCGGGACGATACTAGGCAATATCGGCACATCATCAGAAGAGATGAAAATATAGGGGTCATTCGCCAATTGATGGGAGATATTCTGCGGCTCAATAGGTACCTGTGGCCTGGCAGGCGGCGTTGCACTGGGTTGTGGTGGTGCTGTCGCCGGTGTTGGCCACGGCGCAGTTGGTCCTTTGGGTGCTGTCGGGGGGGGTCGCACGAAAGGCACCGCCGGTGCTGAAGATTTTGGGCCTGTTGGAGGTGCTTTAGAAGCGGCCTGCTCCCTAGCCAACTTCTCCTTGTTATACTTTTCTCTCTCTCGTTTGAGATGTTCTTCAAGCATTCGTCGGCTCTTACGTCCCTCTGGATCATAGTCAACCTTGACCATGTCAGCATCGATTTTGATACCAGGTGTCCGCACGGCACGGCGAGCGGCATCAACTGCGGAGACAGCCGCTCGTCCTGAGCGCTTAGAGTCACGATAGCGAATGGTCGCAAAACCAAGGTAGCTGCCTGTATCGGGATGCATTTTATTGCTGCTTTCCGCAATTTCTCCAAATGTTGCAAAGACAGCCGTCACTTTGTTGAAGGGAATCAGGGGGTTGTACCGTGTCACCACGATCTGCGTCGGCGGGCCAGGCCCGATGGATGTCTTTACATCATACGGGTAGGGTTTGAGATTCTCTGGCGCAGGGCGCAATCGAGCTTTTGGTAGATAATAGTCGGTATTGATATAGCCAAGCCGGCCCCCAGCCTTTTGCAAACGCGGGTCGGAAGGGGGAGCGTCATCGTTCTATCCAAGAAAGTTAGCCTATATTTACTGTGCCCGAAAGTGACGCCCCCCCTTCACCCATGAGAATATTTAGTTATACATACCAATCCAAATTCTGTATATGTCGGTTTGGAACTCTTGCCAGCTCCTTTATTCCGTACTCGATCGAGGATCGGATCATATGTACATATCAGGCCTTTGACAGATGGAAATGGATCTCGGGCCGACGGGCGATCAATATGTTGGGTACCGAATGAGTTCAGACCATCATGGCCTTGAGCAAGGCCTGCGGTATGAGTTTGTCCCGAGCCATGGTCGGCTGCCTCCAGTGGAGGCATATCTGGCTTTGAAGATGAGGGGACCGGTGAGTAGGACGATGAGTCCCGCGCGGTGAGAGGCGTCGTTCTTGCAGATATGTGAGATGAGGCCGTCGTTGTGGTTTGCCTTTGTGAGGCACTAAAAATAGAGGACGCAGAGCTCGTGTGCGAGCTGGCAGATCCAACAGTACTGGGTATATCTCCCAGAGGAGTGTCGTGATCGTCGTTTTGTGAGTGGGGGGCATCCGAAGGGATATTGGATTGTGACAGCCGAGCAAAACCGGTTGCATTCGAAGGCACCGCGCCGGCAGCGGGATCTGAAGATGGATCGCTGCCCTGAATGCTATTGCGCCGTGATCGCTCGCGATCTGCCCGGCCTTGGGCTTCTGCTCTCACTTTTGGAGCGTTTGGAAAGAACTGCGCGAAACTCACGCCTGGAGGCGGCCGAGTCATCGTGTCGATGCGCTCCTGTTATCTTTTGCACCGCAACCTGCTCATCATATCTCGCGTTTGGTTCTAGGCCATTCACGGGACAAACGATTGTGGTGGGCGATGGTCTTCACACGCAGGCCGTACGCGCTTCGCCGAGCCCACGCGACCGGAGGACAAGAGGGCGGGCAGCGGTGGGAAGGCGGGTAGATCCTCATTCACTGGCAGAGCAAGAACTGTCGCGCCAATGGAAAAGTGATGAGAGGGCGAAGCAAACGTATGCGATCGTAGTGCAATATGTGCCGCAGCAAAAGATCAAGATGTGAAGCGTGCACGTGTGAAAAATAGAAGGGACAGAACGGTGAGAGGTTCGACATAGATTGACACTTTCTTTCAGGGATGGCAGAACTGAATCCTTGTTGGTCCAGCCACAGGCTGGCAACATTACGGAGGCTCAGGAAGTACCGAGAACCTTTGTGCGCTCTCGGCGTGGCTTTGCCGGAAATACTATTTGTCCGGAGTTAGTCGCTGCATTAGCCACTCTAGAATTCTGGCCGGCATAGGCTAGCCCCCCCCAAAAAGTTTATTCTGTACCTGCATCCTGCTTCACAATCGAACCAAATTTCCCACGCCCAGAAATGCCAATTTTAATCAAATTCGTTGAAAATAAAGGGGTTTTAGGTGCAACGCTGAAATCTACAGCAATGTTTGTCAGCGGAAACTACGATTTATGGAGTGATAGCAGCTATGCACACGGTTCAACAAAGTGCCTAGGTAGCTACACATGTGATTGCGGTGGTGGCGAGGGAGGTAGAGAGCATGTCTGCACATCTTTGCGAAGATGAATTAGCCTATCGCGAGATATCCCATAATGTACTGTAATTTATTAGTATATATTTACCCAGAGGCAAATATACCTTGCCAAAAAATGTGAGTACGCTCCGATATGTCGAATTTGACTGGGTAGCGTTGTGAAGAAGGGCCGACAGCTACCACGACTCCCATTTGAAGATAGTACGCTTGTTTTTTTCTTCCTTTTGGGCGGCAAGAGAAAAGGGGAATGGTAAAGCTAAATACTGACAGGCGCCTGAGAAGCTGGCCTGGTGGTGTCACAGTTATTGCCAAGTTATTCGTACGTGAAGGTCTCAGATAGTGCTATACCCTAAACTCCAACGTTTTTGAGATTTATTACACAGGAAATCAAATCGTCAGCTTGAATTCAAACTCATCGTCCTCATCATCGGATGGCAAAAATGGCCTTTGCAGCGGTGGCAAGTCCCCTTCGTCCCCGTCATCAAAGATTGACATAAATTGTGGCCTTGATGATTCCGTGTTGCATGAAGTGGCTTGACGAATTCGAGCTGGGGTAATAGTCAACTGGGAATCAGGGTCCTGTGGGACAGTAGGCTTAGGCTGTTGTCTCTGCCTGATGGACTGGCTATTACCATGGGAATGCACCATGGAAGAAGCCGAACGCCCTTTATTGTATCCTAGGGTTGTGCGTGAAGCGGCCTCGCCCGTTGAGTTTCCACTCGAACTTGGCTTGGTGATGACTGGTCTAGCAGGCCTGGTTACTGAAATTATCCCCGATAATGGCCTCCGCGTTGTAGAACTGCTCGAGGCAGGACGTGGGACATTGCCATTCTGCTTGTCTGAACGCACAGCCAACATTGAGGCGGCTCGTCGTGCAGAGATAGAGGCAGGCTGTAATTGGGAACTTTTAGTTCTGGCCCTCCTCGATGATAAATCAGTCGCTGGTTTGACTCTATCGCTTGGAACCGTAGTTGGCATTTGATTATCCTCAATATCCTCCGGGCTCCAACCTATAGCATTGACCTCTTGAGCATTTCGTTCCTCGGCCTTTTGCAATACTGTTTCCATCTCCTTGTTGAATTTCTTTTCCATGAGGGAAACCCCGTTTTCATCAATAGGATTATGGAAGTGCTGGTAATACCCCTTAAGGAGATTTCCTTTCTTTAAACCATTGAAGGTGAGACCGCCTGGAGGCAGCACGTCAGACTCATATGGCAGAGGGGTTGGCCTCGGAGGAGCATATTCAGGCTCCGGAATCTCGTTGCCATCGGCATCGTCATGTTCGTCATGCTCAATATTCAGCTTGATTGGTTGAAGATTCACCGGTTTCTGCCTGGTCTTCTGCCCACTGCTTTGCCTCGTCTGTGTCTTTTCGATTTCTCGAACAATATCCTTGACCCCAGTCGTCTGGCCTGTTCTGGCTTTCGCATTTGTAGTCTTGTTTCCTAGTGGCGCACGAGTACGATTATCTGATGGGCAGAGATTAGCAAACCGTATGGGGGATTCTTTTATTGAAGTGAATCTAGGAACACGCACTCATCGGAGTTAACATTGTCTGGCGTTGGCCCGTCATTTTCCCCGTCATCAACCTATCCTTTCCTCCCAACTTGGCACCACCACCGAAGGTGGTTTTATCCGCAAATGCCATGGGCGCATTCTCATCGCCTCGCCCGAAGTTGCCGGGCGTCTTGGGATATCTGGCGCCTGGTGTTTTTGGCTGTTGTTTTGTTGGGCCTTGGTGGTGACTATGCACCAAATTCTCTTGGTCGCGATGTGCCGCCAACATGGTGGTTCCGCGGTGCCGAATATCAATAAGTCTGTAGATAACCTGTTATGAAGAGTGAAAGATCACGGGCAAGGACGCGATGATGCGTATTCAATCCCATCAACAATAGGGGCTGATTAGACAATCTCGTAGTTCTGTCATCTTAATTGTTGGGGCCCCGCCAGGAATCTAAGCTCCTGTTGATTAGCCTGGTCGCAAATAATGGTTGACCGGACAACAGGCGGTTGCCAGTACCCAAATTCCAAGCCAGCTAGCGCACCGTACTCCAGATGTCACGTAATACTTCGGCAGCCCGGTTTGTACACTTGAGCGAGTGGGCCGCTGGCTATGGCACGTTGTACCACTGGACCGAACCGTTGACTGGACATTGGACGCGTTCACTGCTCAAGCCACAGCGGCCGACAGGGGAGGTACAAGCATCGTTGGAGGGGCATGCGGCCAGCTCTTGCGACTCCTTACTCCGTAGTCTCAAAGCACAAGCACTGGAACCCCATTTGCTCATCCCTTTTCTTTGATCTTGACCCAATCATCCAACCTTGCTGCATCGTCAATCCTCCACAAACCGGTATTCATCTCCAACTGAAATTCTACCTACCCGAGCTCGATTTCATAATACTTCTCGAAAATGGATCGCATTAAGGAGGTTCGTCTTTTCATATTATTCTTCCTGCCTGTTCGGACAGCGTCCCCCTCTGTTTGTACCCCACTCAACACAGTGTTGTGTAGAGGGGTAGAATGCTTGGTTGTCCGACAAGGCGAACGACGCATCGTGACTGACGATGGTCACAATCTAGAAAATGAACTCCCTCCGCCTCGAGGCTGATGAGGCTGCTGCAAAGGTGCAAGAACTTCAGGCCAAAGTCAAGGCTCTTGAGCAGGAGAACTTGGCCAAGGAACAGGAGATCACCTCTCTACAGCACAAGAACAACTTGCTAGAGGGCGAGGTGGAGAAGCTCGAAGCCGCCACGAAGGACTTCAAGAAAGCCGCTGATGAAGGCCAACAACACGGCACCCAGAACGAGACGCTGCAGCGACGACTTCAGTTGCTTGAGGAGGAAGCCGAAGATGCCGACAAGACTTTGCGGGAAGCGAACGAGAAGTATGGAATCTCGACCCTAGCCTCCTGTTCCCCTTTCCCGGCGGCTGAGATGCTTCGCTGCTTCTTAGTAAGAGCGAAGTCTGATGCTAACCATTATCCAAATATATTAGGCTTCGACAGACCGATGTCAAGGCTGGACACTTCGAGCGCAAGGTGCAGGCTCTCGAACAAGAACGAGACCAATGGGAGCAGAAGTACGAGGAGATGGCAAAGAAGCACTCGACCCTGCAGAAGGAATTGGAGGAGCTTCAAAACGAGATTGGCAACATCTAACTTTACAAGTTTGTAGAGAAATCAACCACCCATTTACTGCAACGTGGTTGTTCCGAGTTTAGCCAGGACGACCTAGGCGAAGCAAGGCCCCAGAGGTTATCGATGTGATTATTTTTGACGCGAGTATTTTCTTTTGTTGCGAGAAAAGCGAATCACCTAGCAGCAGTATATACCATCTCTTCTAGTAATTGGAGCTGCCTCAATCCATGGGGTATCTATTCTCCCATAATATTTAAATACCTTCATCTGCTTCACAATGCCCGTTTTGCTGCTCTGGTTTCTTCTACTCTCTCCGTGATTTGCTTTTTGCTTTTTGCTTTCTATCTGTCAGCTGTCGTTCGATCTTTGATTCGTACCGGAACTTCTTCTTCTTCTTCTTCTGCCATGATGGTTTCTTCTTATCCTTGGCCTCGGCTTCTTTCTTTTCTGCTTCCTCCCGTTTTCGGCGAGCTTCTTCCTCAGCCTCATCATCGATTTCATCTGGTCTGCTTAATCCATCTCGCGAGACCGAAACTGATTCAACCTTGACAGTAGTATACCTGTCCTCATCAATGTATTCTTCCTCGTGATCGATAAGGTCCAAGTCTGGCTTGTCCGGGAAACCATCCCATTCGTCCACATCCTCCCCAGATTCTTCTCCCTCATCGATCTGCGAAGATACAGCCCCAGACTCACGAAGTATTCTGTTTACAGCCTCGACATGTTCAGCAACTTCTCGTCGTCTGTCTTCTCGTATCTACGGAAGCAAGTGGATTAGTGCCTTCGCAAAGACAATGCACTGCCCATCGAGGCTCGTCAGAGGGTGCGCACCTGTTTCCGCGTTTCCAATTTTTCCTGGCGAGCCCTCTTGGCAGCTTCTTCTTGCGCATGCTTTATTCTCTGCTGCTTGCGCTTGTGAAAACCCGTAAGATATTCTGTGCGGGCGTCGTCGTCGAACGAGATCTCTTCAATAGTCGACGTAGTTTTCCGTTTCTTGCTTGGGGGTGGAAGAATGCTCTTTTTCGGTCTCGGTCTGGCGAACATTTTGGCAATTGGAAATCTTCCAATCCGGAATAAAGCAGCTGTGTTGCTATTATGATACAAAGAAGGTCGGATTGCTGCATATGGTCAAGTATTTTTTTTTTACATCAAGTAGAACCTCGACACTCCCACAGCAAACAGGGTCCACTAGCCGCCCACTATGACCCTTGTACTTGACAAAAGGTTCTGGAGACCGGCCCTTCAATGTTACCAGTTGACCCCAGTGACCTTACGTAATGCACTGGATTTCCAGTACCATCACGGTCGCAGGGCAGGCGGCTGCGTGTCCGTCATAGTAACGAAGGAGCTTGACACAGCTCATTGACGATACGACAAGTGCCCAGTCGCGCATCGCTATAGTCACCATGCGTTTCCAGATTCTCGCCAGTGCCTTAGTGTTACCGGGAGCAGCGTTTGCTTTCTTAGATTCTTCACCATGGGTGCTGTTTTCGAGTTCAAAGTGAGCCTGCGCGCGCATCATCCTTTAGTTGACGACGGCTTGACTGACAATTCTATTAGGATTTCGCAACCACCCAACACCAACCAGATTCAGACGAGTTCCGAAGTAATAAAATTCACCAAAAATGTACTCGATGAATGTCTTACCGACCGATACCTGATCGTGACACAACCCGGTATCAATGCTGCGGATCTTACCCAGAACGATTGCTTGATGCCCCATGTCTGCAAGACTGTCGAAGCTTCTCGGGTCAAGGGAAAGTATACCGTGGCCGAGGTTATCGGAGACGTTACAGAAGCCAAATTTGATGAGTACATTAAGTTGGCATGCAGGAAGAAGGGAAAGACTGCCCATGTGAAGTCAGTTCAGCTGGGCTCGCTATCACCAGCTGCCAGGGCTCAGGATCTCGCCAGCAATGGTACGTCGGTTCTCAAGGAAGACGAGGCCACACATGTGTGGATTCTCACTGATGGAGTTGCAGATGTATCCCTTACTGCTGAGCTGGAAGCAGTCACAGCCGCTGACAGCTACACCGTCCTGCTCTACGCGACCCCCCGGGAACCGCTGTACGAGTCGGATTTCATCGAGCCAGTGCATATGGGTATGAAGCGAGACGCGGGTAGCGCTCCCCTGCGCCAGCAAACCAACGAAACAGAATTCAACAAGTTGCCCCTGTTTGAGAAGTATCAGTTTTTCACTCCTGGTAAGCCATTGCTGTTACTCGTGTACGATAAAGCTCTCCTGACCAATGACGCTAGGCATCTTCATGGGCCTTGTTGTCGCCATTGTTCTTCTTTCCATTCTCGGAGCTGGTATCAGAGGTCTTGCCAGTCTCGAGGTCTCTTATGGTGCTTTCGACAAGGAGATGGGCCCGGCAGCTCAGAAGAAGCAGCAGTAATGTGTTGAGGCGGTGCCATCATGTTTTGTACGTTGTTGAACCGAGTTGTTCTGTAGCATATACATATCAAATACGGAGTTTAAAGGCTGGTTTACTGAAGAATGCTACGGGCTTGGAGCGTGAAATCTTGCCGTTGTTAAACGCCGCAGGATGTCACTCGAGTAGAGTTCAGTTTATACATTGTATGGTTAAAGAGCCCAGAAATTACTTTTCCTGTTACGACAAAAAAATTTCATTCACCCAAGCAATTCCGCGAACAGACGTGTGTAAAAACTCCCCCTGCGCCGTCCCAATAATTCTCTTTGAACAGCCCCTGATTCCACCCTATACCGTCAACCCCAACCTTCCTACCTCTAACCTGCTTCCAGTCTCGCATCTAAACCATGTGACTTGGCAGCAAAAAGTTGGCAATGCCCTCCTTCACGGCGTACTCGTGTCCACAATTAGCGCACACCAACTTCCCCTCTGACATTTGCGTCTCCAGCAGCAAGTGGTGCAAATCTTTCAACGTCTTCTCATCAGCCTGCAGCTCCTCCGCGGTGGGAGGCTGTTCGGGAAGGGCAGGGAAGCCAAGCTGTCACTTCAGTCAATAAAACTCACCCCCCATCCACCACTCACAACCCAAGTCTCACGACGGCCAGCCGAGACGAAAATACTCCACAGCAGCTGTCTAAAAAAGAAAGGGCAACGTACTTCTGATGACGTAGTTCGCAATGCGGCCCAGTCGAGTCTGGGCAGCACATTGATAATCATATCGGGGTTGAGTTCGATTTCATCCTGAACGAGTTCAGCGTCCTTGGGATGCAGAGGATATGAGTCGGAGGAGCTTTTGCATGCCTTGGCGGCGCATGTCAGGAAGTTGAGACTGAGGACTTTCATTTTCAAGTCCCGTATAGATGGGTGACTGACGGCGTTCGTTTTTGTTTCCAACGTATCCGATTTCCGGAATTCAAAATATTCAGAAAGGGTGCGTGTCAACGTCGTGCCTCAAGATGAACTTACAACTTTTTTTTTCTAGCAATTGCAGATTCGGCTGCTGCTGTAAAAGTGGCCCCACGTGACAGGGATGGGGGGGTATGGTGTGCGCTTGATACGTGACATGATTTATCACACATTGGACATCTTGCCAGTATGCTCTGCTTCAACAACCAATTGTAGCTCAATCGGATTTCGGTTCTTTAATCCACCATGTGTTTGGCTCATGTTAAGAAATTAATGACAGTTGGTCCGTAAGCCAATTTGAGAATCCTCGTATTACTACATGTTCTACATGCTACCCAGTCCACGAGACGACGAGACAGGAAAGCTTGAATATATTAAGCAGTCAGCTTTTCCGTGTAGCCTCCGTTGGAAGATTTACGAAGGCGGATGTAGAACACTGCAGCAACCACCACAAACCCAAACAATCCCACCTTCTGCAAGAGTGACCATCCTTCAGAGGGGCTGTCTCCCACGATAGGTTCGTTTTCGACGGGCGCTACGCCGTCGGCCCAGCCAGCCGAGCCGTGGAGGCCTGATTATTTCCACACATATCAGCACCGGCTACGGGCGAATTGAGGATAGTTTGGTTTTGTGAAGCTTCGATACGAAGGATCTTAGAGGTCAACGTGAATACCTTCAGACGGGACCTCAATCTCGCCGCTCTTGGCGATCTTTACAGTCTTAACCGGCTTGTCGCCTGCCTCGGTCGCGGCATTCTCAATCTTCTCGACGATATCGTAGCCCTCGAGCACCTCGCCGAAAACGACGTGTCGGCCATCAAGCCAACTATGGAATTGATTAGTTCTTTGTTCGTCCTGCCAACGAATGGCGAATATCGGAAATGCCTGCTTACGAGGTGATGACGGTGGTGATGAAGAATTGAGAGCCGTTGGTGTCGGGACCAGCGTTAGCCATGGAGAGGAGACCCTTCTTGGTATGCTTGAGCTTGAAGTTCTCGTCCTTGAACTTTGCGCCATAGACTGCGAGGGGGTTGCGAGTTAGTCAATTGCTCAAGCCATGGAGCAGTATCGGATTTGTAATGGCCGAGAATACTCACTAGACTTGCCACCAGTGCCGTCGCCCTTGGTAAAGTCACCACCCTGGATCATGAACTGCTTGATAACACGGTGGAACGTAGAATCCTGGTAGCCAAATCCCTTTTCCCCAGTAGCCAAGGCACGGAAGTTCTCAGCCGTCTTAGGGACAGTCTTTCCGTACAATCCCATGACAATACGACCCAATGGCTCGCCACCATGCTCAATGTCGAAGTAGACCTTGTGGGTGATCTTGGGGCCTTTTGCCGCCTCGGCGGTCTGTGAGAAAAAGACCAGGCCGACTCCAATGAGGAGGGCGAAGGAGACGAGACGCCTCAGGTTAAACATATTGTGTGTAAAAAGCCGACCTCTGCAGTCGAAGGGAGAAAAGACACGTGAGGCAAAAAAGATGCGGGTGTATCTCTCAGTATGCTGTTGAACAATTCAAATATCAGCGTATACTGCGTAGTGGTTGGGTACCTACTTATATATCTTGCCGTGGGATGTAGAGAAAAGGATGATGAGGGAGAGGAAGGCTGGAAGGCTGGACTGAGGGACACCTAAGCTCTAAGCTTGACGAGTGCGTTTCAAGATCCCCCGCTGAAGCAGCGTGGGGAGGCCCATGCATAGGAGGCCCACAGCACTGCGACTACGGTTCAGGTCTCAAGTCCGAGTTGCGTTAGCGAAAACAGCAGGTGGCGTTGCACGGTCTGGTACGGAGTACATATGTGGTTACTTCTACCAGTTGACGGTCGCACATCAGCGAAGCTCCGGAGAATCCCCCGCCAAACACGACCAGGCTCTACAAGAATCGCAAAATCCACTACAAGGCAACAAATAACAGTATTCTCAATTTATAGCGTTTTATATTTAAAAAAAAGTAATAGTAAATATAGTTACTAAAGGCACGCAATAAATCTATATTATTATTATTTACTCTTTACTTTAGTAAATTTTAGCTGCCAAAAGTGCTGCCAAAAGTGCTGCCAAAGGTGCCAGCTTTTTTGAACCTTACCAGTTGACCTTTGGCAGCACCACGCTGGAGGCTTACAGTAGGACCGACGTCAATTCGATCTGCTGAACGCTGCTGGGATCGGCAAGGCAACATTCTAACTAGTCAAGTAGTTGCGACATATTCGACCCCTCTCAATTAGGTTATATACGCTCGATGTTAATCTTGACTCGGAAATTTCGTGGCAAACCAGATGCAACACGCCTGTACATCTCGCTCCGCCCAAGGTTACTTGAGCCCTCAAGCCAAAGTCCCTAGGGATTTAGATGGACACCTTCCATTACTATACAATTATTATTTAAGGTCAATTGAATCAAGTGATAACACTGCTCATTTAGCAATGTCCATGACTTCAGTATCAGTAGAACAGCAACATTGAAGCTCTGGGGCTTCGTTGAGTTTCAGCTTATAAGTAAGCACGACAGTGTCTGACCATCGCCTAGCATCGAAACGGGGGAGGGCCACCCTGGATGTGGGTTTAACCGCACCTTCTCCGGAACTTCACACCAGCTTCTTTTTATGTCCCGACCTACCCAGGATAATCGTTGGTCATCAGGACAACACCTTGGCTTCGCATTTCTGCCGTCAATTCTACTCAACAACCGTCAAAATGGTATTATAAATCCCCAATTCTCAAATCACAATAATAACCAGCGTTGACAATTCTCACATTTCACTTAGGTGTTCATACTCGGCGTCAATTTCAATGATGGAAAGCTCGTCAAGGTAAGAATATCAAAGCAGGCGCCATTTATGCGCTGATTGAAAGGAGGACAAGAGCGCTCACAATACACGGAATTACTGCTACAGAAAGCTCTCGAATCATTCTATGCTCTAGGATCAACGACTTCCTCCCGCATCATGGCCAAATACTCGATCCACAAGCTCGCCAAAGTCGGATCCCTTAGCCCCCGAACAGTTACGTCCCTGACAGCCGAATTATCACAAATGACGATTGAAACCGACGCAAGGCGGATAGTACAAGACAATATCAGAAGATTAAAAGACATTGGGTCATATCGCGGTCGACGGCATGCCATGGGCCTGCCGGTGCGCGGTCAGCGAACACGCACACAGACGGCCACGGCCAACAAGCTCAATAGAGTTGATCGCAGATCATAAGTCCTCTGCAGCCCGTAACGGACTTTCTCAGTTTTATTTGAACATGTAGGGCTCGAATATCTACGACTATTGAGATGCAAGGCGAGCTCATGACAAGGCGGACGCCACACCTGCATGCGGCATCAAATCAACGGGAACATCCCTACGCAGCAGGCACTTTCTGGAGGAAAGTTAGGACTGAAATCAGGGTCCACATCCATGAAAGCCATGATCTGTTGCACAGAAGTGTTTATATAATAATTTGTATGATTAAGTGAGCAAAAACGACAGCATGGAGGTCTGATTTCAAAAACTACACAAACCCCTCGTATGTACAAAGAATAAACGATTTTTTACCCGTGTAAATCGATAGCAGGCTGGTCGATGTCATCTTCCATTATGGGCGCGTTTTCTACTTTCATGCACGCAGATACGGCATCACGGTAGCTGATGCTGTCCATCAACAAGGCAGCACTCACGCCGGGATACTTGGCTATATCTTCAAATGCCTTGGACATAGAGTCGGTGCTACCAATATCGGTTCCAATTTTCAATGTGGTCAAAACCAATGCGATTGCCGATTTTCATGATATGCTCGACACCTCGATCCAAAGTTGCGTTGGCGGCATCATTCCCGGGTAGGCCATTCCCCTGGCCAGTATCTACGCACAAGATGAAGCCGGGCTTAAAATTGACTATAACAACAGAGTTTCACTCCTTGATCAGTTCGAGAGATGCTGTCCTTGACGTTGCGAGGGTGCGAACAGATGCTGTAAGCAGAGCTGTGGGAAATGGTCGTGGGTGCGACACTGCTCCGTCGATGCATCGTAGAAAACAACACAAGTTACTCCTTCACGGGCAGGTACAATACAAAGTGGGCATGCGCGGAGTATCCTTAACCACAAGGAAGGCAGAGAAAGAAAAGACGACTGGTGGTATTGTTATTTGAGAATAGCAGAGTGAAAGTTGAGCCGCTGTGTGCTCAATGATCGTCGATGCCGATTAGCGTGAAGGTCATTTGGAGCGGGCATGCTTTGTCAGAGCTAGAGGACTCGGTTGAAGGGTTTGATCCGAATCTTCACATGCTCGAATGTTCGAGTGTGAAAACACAATTGCTCTGTATGTTCCAGCGCCAGGCAGAGAGGGAACGATGAAAATGGACAGCGTCTATTACTATACGGGTATTTTGGTCATCTTGTCTAAATAATGGCAATAGCTGCCATCGCACGCCCGCCAGCTATCACAGCGAATGCCAACGTGCGGCGTCTCTTACGTCACACGAAAAGAGCAGCAGGCTTAGACCGGCTAAATTCTCCTTGCACGGCCGGGTGCTCAAGCTCCTTTTCAACCTCAAACCACCCTGTACCTTTGTAGGCCAAGGCTCCCGTTTTGTGTCTTGTGGGCACATGTCTAGGGGGCACAGAGAAACGAGATGTCAGGGCTGGTTGAGGGACGTCACACGGATTGTCTCGAGTGCTCGGTTACAGAGCGCCTAGGTTCTTGGGTTCTTGGATGCAACAGTTGGCCCGTACAGAACCTGGTGATGATGATGATGCAGCATTGATTGTTCAAGAGCGTCAGGCTGTCGTTTTCTTTTGTCAACTCGTTGGGTCCGTGGTCCGTGTCCGTGTTACTCGGGCCGTTCGCGCCCTACCCGCGAAGATGCCCAAAAACGAGGCAATCGCCAATCAATTCGCTCGCCTGGTCTTGTGATTGACATCTGGAGGTTGTGAACATCTCGCACTGCATTTCGGTGTGTGGTCACGGACTCATAGCCCATGCCAAGGACCCCGACCGTTGAATCTGCCCACTGCCGCCGGGTTGTTCACCTTAAGTACCAACCTTGGGGAGCTGGGGCAAGCACTATAGTATTTACTTGGGTAGTACCTCTAAGTACTCCGTAGGTACTCCGTACTTGAAGTCCGTACCTGGCCCTGTCGGCACTTCAACAGTGGGCGCCAAAGTCACCGCCAGTTCCATTAATGTCGCCTGGTTCATCCGAAGACCCCTGGCTATCAGCCACCATCGGCCGGTCAACGGTCACCTCGTGGCCCAACTCGAGAGAATACTCCGTACGTACGCTCCGTATTGCAGAGTGCGGCTGGCATTTTGTTGCTACTGAACACCAACACCGGCGCCAGCCACATTCATCAACGTGGGAACCACACATGCATCCACATGCCAGGCTGTGGAGGCTCTGCTCAGCTCAGTAGGTCGCGCACACGCAACATTTTTGGACCAGAGGTTAACAACATTGAATTGATGGCACACTTGCAGGTGTGGGCCCTCGCCAACTGGCCGTGAACAATGACCAGCCCCTGAGGCAATCCCCTGCTGGTCTGGTCTTTTCTCAACTGTGCCTAGTGGCCAGCGACGGGGTCTGGGGTCCAACGACAAAGCTAGCCGCAGCTGAGCAGCTCCCGATGTCCTAAGTAGCTGGCCATTCACACTCGGGTCCAGTGCTGCCGTGTGGGCTCCAGCCTTCTCTAGCTCTATTCATCATCTCCATCTGCAATCTCCAACTCCGTCCGCCGTGCACTCTTCACTCCTATCCACATTCTGCAGACGCTCTTTGTAACCTCTGTCCTTAACTTGCGCCGGTTGGACTGCTGTATGCGTGCTTAAACCCATTTCAAACCCCGTTCCTTATCTTCAAAGTCGCCCTTCTTCCTTAGAACTTGTTTCATTACCGTCCGATCTTGACGCTCTTGACGCCGCCCTACCACCGCCAGCTTTCACAGAGTTCGACTAGCCGACGACGTCAACGTTTCGAACCCGGACATTGCTAGCCCTGAACTCGCCGATATCTTGATCTGAGCAGAGCATCCCCTTAATACCATTGGCGTTCGATCGAACAGGCAGAGTTGGCCATTGCCTTACACTATTTCGCCCCCTGGTGGCTTTTCTTGAATAGTTCGCACCTGGTATTCCGTTGTGTGTCTGGCCCAGCAGAGTACGAGAAAAATGCCGGGCTTTGCAGACTCGTTCTGGTCGAGCGACTATGCCGCAGGTACGTCGAGAAGGATCCTCAATAAATGCCCAGGGGTCAGAAGTCTCATTGCGACCTGCATTGCCCAAAGATCTAACGCGTAAACCATAGGACTCGGCGTCCTGTTTGGCAAGCTCCAGCAAGGTGTAATGGAGAATCGCCAGGTCCTCACAATAGCCCGTTTGCGCGCCGAAGCCGAAGAGACTTACGGTCAGCGTCTCTCGGATATCACGCCATCTGCAGACAGGGTCAACGGCGGTTTCTTAAGAGATGACGGTGCCACTGTACGGAAGGTGAGTTTTTTCCCTTCTTTCTCGATATTGTCTTGCATTTACTGCCTAGGCAACCCAACCCACATCAACGTTCCGACCAGCTACTTACAGCAGGCTTTTACTATATAGGCTTATGATGGAATGCGAGCAGAGATGCAAGACGCCGCACGGAGTCATCAACGAATCGCTCAAAATATCCGAGACTTGGTTGTAAATCCATTCTCCCGCTGGTGTGATGCCCACGAAGCCCGTGTACAGGATTCGCAAGACGAACTACAGAGCCATGTTAAGGCGCATGACCGCCAATCCGATGCGGTTCGCAAGTTGCGATCAAATTACTTCAATAAGTGCCGTTTGGTCGAGGATCTAGAGGAGGAGAACAAGCTTGGATTTCAAGACCCAGAAACCAGCCCGAAGCCGAACCAACCAAACATTCCCGAGATTAAAGTCCAGCCTCTCAAAGAGGAGGAGGATCCCGATGATGACGAATTGTACGAAATCGGTGACGATGTCTATCAGCCTGAGCAGCTGAAAAAGATCCTCTCAAATATGCTTTCCACCATCAAGATGGGCGAGACCAAGGTTCCCATTCTTGGCACATACTTGAATACATCAGCCGGTTCTGACATTGTCGAGTATCTCCAACGCAGCATGGGCATTTCGAGTGTGAGCTACGCCGAGCGAATCGGCCAGGATCTCGTTACAAACGGCTTCTTGCGCCTTATCGGTAATGTTGGCAGCACATTTGCCAACAGCTCCAAATTGTTCTACCAATGGCGACCAAAGGCATTCAAGTGCGCCGGACTGCCTGAGAAAAAGTTGAATAGAACCTTTTCACTCCCCGCCACGGGATCCGATGGAGGGTCAGATTCGCCCGTTGTTGGAACAGTCAGTGAGTATCTGGCCAATTGGAATGTACTCGGGACTAGGGATCCAAATGAGACACCCTCCATGCGTCTGCAGCGCGAGGCTCGAGAAGCCGATGACAAGTATAAAGCTGGTGTTCGCAAGCTTGACGAATTGCGCTGTGGGCTCGAGGAAGCCATTTTCCTCCATCTGAAGTTCCTCGAACGATGTGAGCTCGACCGACTCAAGGCTATCAAGACAGTCATCCTCGATTTCTCCGGGGCCATTGGTAATGTCATTCCTAGCTTACAGTCGACCGTGGACAAAATGGTCTTATTCCAGGAGACTGTGCAGCCCGCCGGTGATCTACGTTATTTGTTGGAGAATTATCGCACGGGAAGCTTTGCCCCGAGAGTCGTGGTGTATGAGAACTACTATAACAGGGTTGACGAGCAGACATTCGGTGTTGACCTCGAGGCTCGTGCAAGAGCTGACAAGAAGCGTGTACCCGTCATTGTGACAACGATTTTGACCTATCTGGATCATCATTACCCAGACCTGGAAGGGGATGAGGCTCGCCGAGGAGTTTGGCTAGTTGATGTCCCTCTCGCACAAATCCATCAACTTCGGGCCAAGGTCAATAATGGCAAGGCCATCTCGTCAGACGTTTTTGATGAGTTCGATGTCCCTACCGTAGCAGGACTCCTGAAACTGTATCTATTGGAACTCCCTGGTATGCTTTTTCTACAAAATCTCCCCTCCTAAGAGACCTTGCCTCCCCCGCTCTTTTTTTTTTTTTTCGTGACCGCTAACATTGCGATTTCAGATTCACTAGTTAGCGCCCATGTCTACGAAATCATCCGCACGATTTATACAACGCCCACGGCAGACGGTTCGGAAGCATCCCGCGTTGCCGTTCTCCAGCAGACATTGTCACAGCTGCGCCTGACCAACATCGCGACTCTCGACGCCTGCATGAATCATTTTACTCGCTTGATCGACCTGACATCTGCGGATGAAGAATACGTTGCGTCGTTGGCTGCGTCGTTAGCCTCTTGCATTCTCAGACCACGAACCGAAACCTCGCTTACGCTTGAAGAGAAGCATGCATCTCGACTGGTACGGGATCTATTTGCGCACAAAGACCCAATTTTCAGTGAACTTAAACGCATGTCCACATTGAGTCATTCCGCATCTGTGGGAAGCAGCCGACCTCGGGCTGTAAGCACTGATGAGAGTAATAGAAAAGCTCTCATGGAGGAACGCAATCGTGCTTTGGTAGAAAAGGCGACCGCCTCGCGAAGTCGAGCAACCAGTCCAGCACCAGGACCCCGTGGCCACCGGCGCGATAGGAGCAGTGGAGGACCGGACACTCGGTTCCCCATCCAGACCAGCCCAACAACGGACCGGAATCGTGTCAGTTTGGGCGGCATTGAAGGCCGGTTAAAGAGATCCTCTTTGGATGTGCCTGCGCTCGACGGCGGACCCCCTTCTGATGGAGTAAATGGATCGCCTCAGGGGAAAAGTACCGACGGCGATGGCAGCGACAAGCGTGATAGCGGTAGCCGCGTCGGGACCAAGTTCATTGGCGGGAAGAGAGTGCCGGGGACCCCTCCCCAAGAGAGCACCTCGAGGGGAGTAACACTAGAGGACAAACCCATGGATGACTAGTAATCCAGCCATGGAAAGATACCCCTTTGTGTGTTTGTTGATGGAGGTTTTCACAGAGCTGGTTAGTTGGATGTTGAGGAGTTTTTTCTTTCTTCCCTTGTTTTCAACCAGGATTAGCAGGGAAAAGGACATGTATGAGGATGAGCGTCGAGTACGTATGTAGACACTGTTGGTTGGGTTATTATCATGGCTGCTTTCTTTCTTTTGTACTATTGCATAGTATCGACACAGTGCGTACGGATCTTACGGAGCTATGAGATATGGTCAAGTTGAACTATGCATTGTATCCGCGCGGTAGCGTTGCGTAAGGTGCTGGAAGGAGTCTATAAAATAAAATAACCGGTACATATTATGACCCCTCGCCTTTTTGGCCAATCCACCGACACCTTGCCGCCGCGTGTGAATGGAAAAGCGGCAGCAGGTTGCTCAAAGCTGCCGACAGCACAAATAAAACAAAGAGTGCTGGGTGTACATGTTTCAAATTCCCACGTGTATGAATGCTATGCTAATCTGTTCATGCCGAGACGAAGAAGGCCCAAACGAAACCCTCAGCCTCTAGCACAGCTAACTCAAGTCCTCAATCTCAGCCATCTTCTTCTTCTTGACAGTCTTTTTCTTCTTCTTCGGCAAGACGACATCATCAGCTGTGACGCCAGCACCGCTACCCGCCGCAGCCGTATCTGCCATCGAATCAGTCTCTGCCATCGAAGACGTTCCCACACCCTCAGGCCCTTGGCCAGGTGTCTGATCCGGTTCCTGTGCCGGGTTGACCTTCTTCTTCTTCTTTTTCTTGGGCTTCACTTCCCCATCAGGGCCGAGTGCCCCCTCTGCCGTCTTCTTCACCGTCCTCTTCTTTTTGACAATGGTACCTTGGGCATCGACCCCGTGGGCGACTTGGATACGCTCGTTGGCGCGTTGCATTTCCAGTCGCAGCCTTTCCACTTCCTTTATGGCTTGCTGCATCTCTGCTTCCTCGCGTTGCTTCCGCTCGTAGTCGAACCCGTTGGCCGGAGCGCCCTCGAGACTGAAAGAGCCAATGTGGCTCGAATCCACTTGCAGCAGAGAGTGTTTGGCTTTCTTGCTCTTCGCCTTTGTGAGGATATCAGAGTTGTTTCCAGAGTCGTGTTGCCGGATGCTATCGCCATCACTGCCCTCGAGAGTCTCGTCGCTAGCAATGACAATCTTTTGCCGTGGCTTAGCCTGCGGCCTGGGCCCTGCGTGGGCGGTGGGGGTCGCCATATTGTCACGATCAAGTTGAATAATGGGTATAGAGTCAATATCGAGATCTGGTCCGTTGCTGGTCTGGAGGATATTGTGTATCGGGGTAGATTCTCGGGTTATCTCGTCGCTGGGTAAGTAGTATGGATCGTCCTTGTTACGTTCAAGGCGCTCTGCCTTGCGCCGTGCGATGATATCGGCATCGAGATAGCTCTCTTCACTTGCCGGCTGCTGATATGACCCTATCGTTTCATCGATCGGATCTGCGAGTCTGCTGATTGCGGGAGCTGAGGATGAAATGGCAGTGGGGGCCGGCCGTTGGCTGTAGTAGACTTCAAACTCATCTGACTCATCGGCATCAAGAGCCACGAGATCTGCAGGAGACAGCAGATTGGTCAGGTTAGAGTGAATGGGCTCATCAAGGTCTAATCCTTCGGCCATTGGTACGTTGCGCTGCGCTCCCTGAGCAACGGAATTGAGTTCTGAACCTTTGAACAGCGATGGGATTGCCTGGGTGAGAAGAAGAGGAGAGTCTTGAAACGCCTCGTCTGTTGATGCAGGTTGCCCGGAAACAGCCTCAGCAGTAAGTTTTAACAACTCTACAAACTCAACTGCTCGCTCTTGCACCTCAAGATTTGGATGCAGTGCCAACGGCTCCGCCACGTGCAGGATTCTAGCAATGAGGAGTGATATCCGTGATTTCCACTCAGCAGTCCACGGTCGTGTTTCGTCACCTGCAATGGTGGCGAAGATCTTGGCAACCGCGAGAAGCGACGTAGCGCAAACTTCTGGTCTTGCAGCACGAGGAATGAGCTGCAGTAAACTGTTCAATGTTCCATCAGGATCTTGCAGCAGGATGGCATATTCTCCCAGGAGCCAAGCAACCGAACTCAAGACTCCAGATGTGACCTTGTGGCCAGTGGGAGTGTCCGCGTTAAGTTGAGCTACGATGGTAAAGCCAGCGCTCACTGCAGTAGATCTCATGGCTCGAACTTTGACTGCGACGTTTCGCAACTCATCCCCTATTCTCCCTGAGACATCCATCGAAGAAAGTGACGATAAGGGAGTACTCTCCGAGTCGAGCTGTCTTGGGACAGGTGCCATGCGAACGAGCTGAGTCAATACATCGATATACCAGTCAAAATCCAAGACATTAGAGTAGTTATCCTTTGAACATATAAACAGTATTCTTCTAATGATGTCGATCATGTAATCTTCAGGCAGTGGCGGTGCTTGTTTTTCAACTTTTGTAGGCTCAGTGATTGCCACGTGAGCTTCATCGTTAGAGTCCGAGCCAGAACCGAATGAAGGAATTCCTGGTTGACTTCTCTCCTTTGTTGGAGCCGAAGATTTGAGTTGCTTCATCAATCGGCTAACAACCGGTATCAAGTTGTCGCCAGTAACAATGCCTTGAACCAAGTCCAGTGCTTGTATTCTAATGGTGATATCTGGACTGTCAAGACAATCCAGAATGACGTCGTCCTGTTCCGCCACTAGGTGTGGGTGCGTGGCAACAATCTTGTTGAATGCCAGCAATGCCACGTATTTGACTACCGAAGATTATCATATTAGTCAAGCGCTGGACAATATTTGTTCGCAAAGTAGAGCTCAGACTCACGATTTGGATCACCATTAATCATGACCATCCCTCGCAGCTTCTTGACGCAAAGCGTCGCAATCTCATCCGTATCTGCAGTGTCATCTGTACTTCCAAGAATACCGCCTTGGATAATTCCGTTTATACACTCGTAGAGTAGAGACATGGCAGGTGTTGTCGCTATTATATTTGTCAAGGGTGGCAACAACTTTCGAACCAGTCGGGGTTCGAGAGGTGTCAGAGTAGCAAACTAGTGAAGGATAAGCATGTCAAGACAAAATCCAATGTTGTGCGCCTAAACATACCAGTTTGATGAGCTTGATGGCCATCCAGTTATTTCCTCCATCAACAAGGAGCTCGAACAATCGGGGGGCAAGTGGGAGAAAGTCGTGGGGTCTCCGCCACCCCAACTCGCATACCACGTTCACGATGGCCGCCGTTACGCTTGGGTCCTCATTAGGGTCCAACAATCGTTCCTTGATTTTGGGCCACGCCGCTCTCAGGGCTTCTGGATACACAAGCGCCAACCGATACAGCGTGACCAGCGTCTTTTTCCTGATATTAGAATGGCTGTGCCCCAGCCGAGGGAGGAGATCGGGGAGGGTCGAGAGGGCCAGGGATGGTGTAATGACGTGCGGAAGTGTAGCGATAGGGAGAGAAATAACTGTTTGAGTAGACGACCCGATGTCCTATGCCATATGAGCCCAGGTTAGTCGTTATTCAAATGGGCTGTTGGCGCGAGCTACCAGCTTGCAAAATGGAGAGTTTTTGTTTGGAAAGGGGAATACCTTTTTCAACAAGTTGGTGGCCAGCATGAGAACCTCGGTATCCGGTCGAAAGCTCTGTACTGCTCCCAAATATCCCACTCGCTTCTGGTGGTATTTGGGGGATGACATGACCTCCAGAACATGGAATGACGCCCAAGACATGTCGTAGCCTAGCATCTCGAGGTAGACGAGCTTTAGAAGAGCTGTCGCTTTGACGTCTAGCCAAGAGAAAGTCACATAATGAGCACACATTATACAGGGTATATCATGAGTCGATCTCTTGGATAAATAACCTACCCATATCCGGGCTGCGAACTTCGGCCCGGCAATCTTTGAGGTTCTTTTGAATGAAGTCTTTGCCGGCCCCCTTGTTGGTTCGGAGGCCCCGAATGAGGTCGTAGAGCGATTTTTCGAACCTGCTCAGCTCCGGTCAGCTTCTGGTTCAACATGTTGCCTCTACCCGCGCGTGGTGAGTGACGGAGTTGTCGGGGTTTTGTAGATTCGCCATACATTGTCGCGAGCTCGAATTGCCCCGCGCCTGGGGCGACGAGAGCTTCGTTGTAGATGCGATGCTCTGTGTAATGCCCTAAGCCGTGGTTAGATCCGTCGCGGAGTAGTCGACCGATTTATCATGCGTCGGCGGCCGGTGTTGTCCTTGTTGAAGTGGGTAGATGCGTGCACAAGGGTCATCAATGACCGACATCTAGGTGACGGTCTCGTGCGGGTGGGAGCCTTTCGAGGTGGAGATTAAACGACCGGACTCCGGATGCAGGCCCTACTCTGCTTTGGAGCCTCTGGGATATGAAGGACAAGGTTGTGTGGATGTCGTAATGTGGCTGCCAGGTAACTCAGTGAGTGCACCGGGATTTGGTCGATGCATGGGGATTCAGGATGTCACATGTGCAAGTGTCGAGTCTGGTGCTTCTTGACTCGAGGCTTCAGGTCCCTTCAGGTGCCCTAAATGCCAGCTAGCGGGCAAACGAGCATTAAATCCGCCTGAGCCCGGCAGTCTACAGCGGCACCTGGGGCTCCCAGTTGTACATACGTACTAGCCTGGCTCCATCAAATCCATGTCAGGTCAAGTCTACCAGACACATGTGCATGTACTGGTTGGCAACCCACCAATGCCCGACCGCCAATCGACCAGACGTCAATCCACGATCCATCATCTAGTTTGCTTCTAGGCCTTAATTTTCCGCGTCCAGATATTGCGCCAACCACGGCATCCTTCCGCCCTCTTGCAAGTAGAACTACTTTCGGCGGCCCCAATCAAGACAATGGCACTTCATCAACTGCTCACACTCGTTTAAATCGCCATATTCACCGTTCAATCCGTCGCCCCCGCGGCAATTCCACCGTGGCCCTCCTCCCACTCGTCCTCCCAGACACTCCCGCCGGAAGATATTCCAAACCTCACTCAGCGTCAATGTCTTTCCGTACCGCCGCGCGCCAGCTCCCATTGAGGGCTTTAGCTCCCTTCCAAGCTGTTTCAACACCGTCCAGCTGCCGCGCATTCTTCAGTCTCCCCGGCAGCACACCCGGCAGCGACACCCAAACCATCACGGCCACCAGAAACCTGCCGTATGCCCAACAACCCCTGTACCAACTCATCTCCGATGTCGACTCCTACTCCTCCTTCGTACCCTACTGCGCCCACTCGCGCGTGACGCAATGGTCTCATCCCGACGAAAATGGCCGTAAGTGGCCAACGCTCGCTGATTTGCACGTTGGCTGGGGCGGATTCAACGAAGTCTTTACAAGCCGATTGCGCTGTGTCCCCGGCGTGTCAGTCGAAGCTGTCAGCGGTGATCCCGCTTCTGCGGATGCCAAAGCAGCTTCGGCCGTGTTCAAAAGCCTCGTCACAAGATGGCATCTGAAACCAATTTGCCAGCATCCTTTGCCGTCCACCGAGGTCCACCTAACCATCAAGTATCAATTCGTCAGCCCGTTGTACGCGGCTGTTAGTGCCGCAGTCTCTGACAAGGTTGCTGGTCTTATGATAGAAGCCTTTGAAAAGAGGGCGATGGAAGAGTTGAGCTATACACAAAACCAATGAACCAAATAAAACACCAACTCCATATTTAGCTTAGACGACTGGCAGTCATGCTCCCGGACAGGACCTAACGATGCGTTGCTGCATATTCGTACATACGTCACCTCCGCATCCACCCTCACATTTGACATTAAGAATCAAAGAGTTCGAGAGGAATACATCATTATAGAGTATAGAATAGACTAAAAGCGTGTAATATATAATCAGTTCCTAAGCCAGATAAGCAAAATCGCTATCCAAAACGTCCATATACCAAAGCGCCAAGCAAAAGAGAAGTGCTCGATTTCGCTGATTCAAAAGCTACCCCCATCCATCCGCTAAATCGACTACGTAAACCAGGGAGGGGAGCAAGGAAGAGCAAACGGAAAAAGGAATAGATTAGGAAAAGGAAAAAACAAAGTGTGCGCCAGCCCCTTCTCGCATCGCTTCCTGCCCGCATTCCCTGAATGTGAACAAGCCATCCTTTCTATGCCCACGCCTTTTATGACCTGTCCAAGTAGCATAGCTTGCCGCCACATGCTTGAGAGCACCATGTCGTCTGTACTGGGATGGTCTGGTAATGCAGAAGAAAGATCGAACGCAGATAAAACAGCTTATTATTTAAGCTAGAGGGGAATTCACGTTGCGCAGAATCAAGAAATGCCGGACATTCCAAAATTCAAGAAGACTCGCTGTGGTATCAGATGATGAGTAAAATCCGTGGTCATACATCGTCGTTGGTGCGATCGGCACCGTCTCCGTCAATCATTTACGTTTGCTAGATCTGTGCCCGCGAAGAATATATCATGGTTAGTGTGTGTGCTGTGCAGACTCTCGACGTCGGGGGAATTAGTTGGCTACCGATCTCACCTCTTTTTAGTTTGCCCACCAGCGAGAAACTTAAGCATTGAGTTTTGATTTGATTTATGTTTTGAAGGCCTGGAGGGTCCAGATCGTGCTGCGTGTGCTCCTGGTGCTGGCCCAACGTTTATAATATTTGGTGGTGGACCACTTCGTCGAGGGCCAGGCGGCCAACCTGGCGGTGGTGGCATACCGACACCAGGTGGCATGTCTGGTCGGCGCCCTTGGGGAGGTACCATCTGTGGCACTGGGATGGGATTGTGTGGATGTCGTCTGCCGGCCCCCATGGGTGGGATATTCATCTCTGGTATCCTTGGTGCAGGCGGCTTATTTGCATCCATGGGCCACATGGTCATTGTGATGCTCCAGTCCGGTTGAATAGTTTCGTCCCAGATGGTATGTAGGATTATTTGCCCGTCTGGGCCAATCAGGTCATAACGACCCTGCTGAACGTGTGGCCCGAGAACAGCAACTTGTTCGAATGCTTGCTTAATGAGCGTTTCCATGCCCTATGAGCGAAGAACAGTCAGCGTGCTATCGAGTCAACAATCTTCATCCGGAGCGGCAAACAAAATAAGTCATATAAGGGGACGGAAATGATGAAGGGGAAAAGGAGGAATGAATATCCTCACCTGCCATGTGGAGCAGAGGTGAAAGGGAAATCTGAAGTCTCTGCCCACCGCGTCCTTGAATTTGATAGGGGCTTTCTCAGTCTTCTTTGATTCTGCTTCCAAAGCGGCCTTGGTTTCCTCAGCGATACGCTTCTTTAAAGCTTCTTGCTCGGCTTTGGCAGCTTCTTCAGCCTCGGCGGCCTTCTTCGCTTTCTCGGCCTCCTCTTCCATCTTCTTCCTTATTTCAGCTTGTACGCTTGCTTTAGTTTCCTCCTCAATACGTTTCTTCAGGGCCTCTTGCTCGTTTTTAGCAGCCTCTGCGGCTTCAGCAGCCTTCTTCGCCTTCTCCCTTTCTTCCTCAATTTTCTTTAGTGTTTCCAGTTCTCCCTTGCGCCTGGCCTCCTCTTGCGCCAACTTGAGTCTCTCTGCCTCCTCGGCAACCTTTTTCTCCGCAGCCTCCCGTGCGGCAGCTTCAGCCCTTATTGCAGCCTCCAGTCGGGCGTTGGCAGCTTCTTCAGCTCTTTTGCGGTCTTCTTCTTCTCTCTGCCTGCGCTCCTCGGCAGCTTTCTGCTCAGCCTCAAACTTCATCCTCGCATTCTCCTCGGCTCGCTTCATGGCCTCAGCATGAGCCTTTTGCCTCTCTTCCTCAGCTTTGCGCTCTGCCTCAATTCTTTCCCTGGCAGTGCGCTCGGCTTCTTCTCTGGCACGCTGAATCTCCTTCTGAGCCTCCTCCTGTGCTTTCTTCATATCGTCCATCCTGCGTTGAAATGCCTCTTCGGCCTCCTTGCGAATCTGAGCCTCCCTTTCAAGTTGTTCTGCGGCTGCCTTTGCCTTCTGTTCGTGCGCCTTAAATGCAGCAAGTTCCGCCTCGAGTTTTATCTTTTCCAGATCTGGAGGCTGTTCCTTAGGAGGGGTTGGGGCCTGCGCAGGAGCTTCAGTGGCGGGAGGTGGAGGCGCAGTGAGATGAAATTGTTGTAGCTGAGCAGGCAGGTTGTACTGTGGCCCCGGATAGTACCCGGGCTGTTGATGCTGATATGGCATCATGTCATACATTCTTGGTTCACCTCCAAAAAAACTAGCACCGCTAGTGCTGTTACTCATAGGTGTGAATGGGTTCGGGCCATATCCACCATAGGGGACCATTTGACTACCGCCTGGATATCCCCCCATATAATGGCCCTGCTGCTGTTGGTAGCCTGGGTGTTGGCTCCGTCCACCATAGTAGCCACCGCGAGGACCATGTTGAGGCTGGAAGCCATGGCCGTAATGGCCAAAATCCTCTGATGGATCCACGCTGGGCGGCGGAATCGGTGCGTGTGATGGCACCGGAGGATAATCTTGGGGATGTGGTCGGGCAATCCGGTGGCGGCGCGGTGTTGTTCTTACGGCAGCGCGGGGACGTGAAGGTGGGTGGTCGTTACTAGCGGAAGCTGAATCAGAAGGTTGAAGGCCCTCGTCGTCCTCGTCGTCCTCGTCGTACCAGTCTCCTTCGTCGTCGGCTCCGGAGAATTCAGCCTCGGGACGAGACGATTCCCCTTCGCTATGATAAGAAGTTGAGCGAGAACTCTCGCCGCCTGGGTGGATGGTGATGGTGTGTCGTCTGACAAGCCTGGTCAGTGGTGAGCGGCTTCACAAGCGGCGCGCAAACCGCACTTTAAACAAGAGCCAATGGCACTCACGGCATAGCAAGTAGATGATATCGGGCACGTTTGCGCTTTACTCGCGACGATCCACTGAAGACGGCCGGAGTAAAGACGCCACAGAATAAAGGATTGAGAAGGCTTGCAAAGCGGTGTTGGTAGAATGTAAAGGAAAAAGAGAGAGAAAAATTCTTGTGGTGAGGTCAGCTATCCCAATGTTGGTTGGTGATCTTGTTGTGCAGCTCAGGACGCAGGGCACGGTTCAAACACTAAGCCGTTGAGCGACAACAACAGACCAAGGAACTTTGACGAGCAAAGTCAATGGCAGCAGATGGAGTGCTGCTGCGGGAACCGAACCGACCAACTGGTGGTACTAGTGCAATAAGGGTGAGGGGTCGATTGGCCCGAAGACGCCACTAGAGCTTGGGAGCGCGAAGGGCTTGGCTTGTGGAGATTTGTCGCAGGGCGACGGACAAAGGCAAAATCTGAAAAGAGCCGCGCCGCAGATTGCCCCAAGATTGCGCTGTGCTTGGTGCACTACTTCGGTGGCCCAAGGGGGGAGTGGACACGCCTGAAGATTCGAGGTCTAGATGGATGGGCCTAAAAAATTGTAAAGGCTCGAAGCGGTATGTAACCACGCAGCCTGTTCTCAAGATCCCCCCAGAGGAAAAAGAAGTTTCCTCCGACGAGAAGTGATCAAGTGGAGCGCCTTCTTCGTCACCAGATCTCTGAGGAGGAGGGACAGGTCGGGTTGTTAGAGGTCAGCTTAACCTACTGCACGATGCAAAATGTGGCAAGGGACAGGTTGTAGGTCGGGCTCAGATCGGCGGTGAGGATGGACAGGGCCAGCTTGTGGCCGACCGGGGCCAAAGACAGGTCTGGACTCGGAGAGCTGAGGACTTTTAACTTTTATACTGTCGCCCTGCGTGTTTGCGAGCGGGTGTTGGATGACGGTAGTGCCGGAGAGATGAAGATTTGCACCCAAACCAAGGGCAGCAGGGAGATCTTTTGGAGCGCGTGGCAAAGTGTCTGGTGCCGATGCAGTGATGCAGTAGCAGAATCGGGAGCAGATTAGACAGACGGCTGATAGCGGGGCAGCAGCCAAAATAGTCTTGAATTGCGCGCAGTCGATTTGTCCTGCCCTTTGGTATCCAATAGGCAGTGGCGGGAGTGTGAAGGATGGACTATTGGCTCCCGCTATAACAGTCAAACACTGGATTTTGTAAGTGCGTGGTGGAACGATGTCTAAGATAAAAATGAAATATACTGGTCAGTTTTCTTGTCCTCTCTTCTTTTATCCGTACTGACCACCGAGAATCTTGAGTGGTGGTAGGTATATCATGATGCCCGAATGGCCACTAGCCAACCCATTGTCGGGACCTCCCGTAACATGGAAGCCAACGGTCTGCCGGCCTTACCACCATCGCGTGGCTTTTCCATAAACACTGACGCCTTGTGGCAACTCAAAAAGAGCGGCAGCGAACAATGAAACAAGGCGATAGTTGCCCAATGAGGGGTCCAAATCGTGGGGCAGCCACCGAGGGAGGGGCAATAATTCCATCACAGCTTGGAGTAAAGACACAGTTGTTTTCGATCCAACACAATGCAATGCAACTTACCTTGATAGAAAGTTGATCCGATCGTTAGTTGCGCCCCAGGGATCCTAATAAAAAATGTCGATGCCTCTTTTCAACTGTGGCGCTCGCTATACGATGTAGGCTGTGTACGACTGTGTTGGAGGAGCAACAGTATTAGCATCATGGTCAGAGGACCTGGCTCCACTGGAAGTGTGTGAAGAAGGTCGCCCAAGCCCAAACTTACCAACGGCCAATTGGCAAAATTGAAGTTTAATGATAGCAGAGAGCTAAGTTGCTTTATCGGCGCAATGATCTTGCATTCAAGCCTGGGGGGGGATCGGCGGTGTGTGATACAAAATTGCCCACGTATATTTCAATGTAATACAAGGAGACCCTTGCTTTTTTTGTGATAAATTTCGGCTGTGGTGCGAGTATACTAGTAGCTCGTGTAAGCCGAGTCAGCGGAATTAACAGTGGAATCGACAATAGAATATTAGAAGGAAAAATATGCAGTCCCAAAGTTGAAGGCGTCTCGGGGCAAAAGCCCAGGGATAGGGGTTAAAGAAAGTAAAATAAAAAAGTATGTTCAAGATGGCAAAAACGACAAGAAGCGAGTCGGTTGTGTCTCGCCTCTTTGTACCTGGTCGGGCAGACAACGCAAAAGCGGGCAGGAACGCAGGCAGCAAGCCCCCACTTTCACTTTCCACGCCTCCTGGCCTCGACGGTAGCGGGCGTGAAATCGAGCGAGTTCCGTCGAGTTCCCGAGTTGTCGAGGAGGAAGTAATCGCACACGGTGTGTGCGTGGTTCCTCGAGACGTTGAGAGTTCCTGTCCAGACTTGCTTCGCCTTCTTCTTATGTCCAGGTAGGTTAGTGCTGCTTTATTGTCTTGCCTCTGTGCAATTCGATTCTCGGTTCCGTTAGGTTGGTAGTCGGGTGTCCCAGGTTTGTCTCAAATTCTTGGCCTCTCGGAAACGCAGCAACATGGTAGATCGAGATATCTAATAGCCAGTGTAAGTCTAGAATTCTATCACTCCTCGGGTTGGCATGGAAAGACAGTACAGGGAAAGAAAAGGGCCGCTCCGAGTGGCACAACAGTTGCTCCTCGCTCTGTTGTGGTCGTTCAGCAGAGGTTTGTAAGGATTATGAATGTATCCCTGATGTCGACAGGGGCTCTTAGGGTTGCGATATTGCTCGGGTCGCAGTATTTTCTTTCTTTCTTTGACAAAGTCTAAAAGTTGAAATATTGACTGATCTGCTTCCTCAACATGTCGCTGCAAAACGGTCACCGGTCCTTATATGTACCAACGCCACCTCACCCGAGATCGCAACTCCCCCCTTTTCTCACGAACAAGTCATGACCGACTACTAACATCTCTCACGATACACGTGGCAGGCAAAACTTGTGTCGTACTTTTTGTCCGTCATGCATCCGACATGTCGACATGGGGTCTGCAGAAGCTGTGGCACAAGGGGCTGGTACTGTGCCTCTGCATACTGTGAGTCACTTCACGACATATGTACCCAGTTCGGAAGAAGCTGCTGTATTCGGGGCTAGCTTGGGCTATAACAACAATGACTGCAGCTGGCTTGGCTTGTTGGAAGCTGTTTGGTTGCTCTCGGGTTGCATCCCGTGTACAAATATCAACATACCATCTGACGAGTCTTGGTCGATATTACGTACCCAATCGTTTTCCATTTAATCGAATTTCAGGGTGGCACACTGTTGTTGACGTCTCAAGAGACATCTGACGAAAACAATTCACGTATCTTGGCCATTTTCCCCATGTTCAAGCGTTGACACCAGTTTAACTCTGGATACCTTCCCTTTGCGGGTTATAACGGGAACCGGACGTTTGATTTTGACGCCAGATATGAATCACCTCTACTATTGATGGCGTGGCTTCCTCAAAGACCATCGCACTACAGCGCAGGACCCTAGAACAAGTGTCGCCATCCGAAATTGGGCATTGATTGCTAAAACACGGCCGCGTCGGCCCAAGCCATGGCCTATGAGGATCTTGTTGCAAGCAATTTAAACCGAAATGGATCACAGCCATGGCGCCACCGACATTGGACTTGATGTTCACCAAGCTAATACACTCGCCACTGCTGTCCCTCACTCTGTGGGCACAGAATTTAGTTGATCAGGCCCTCAGAGGAATAGTTCATGGGTCTGCTAATCTGGACATGAGCCACTCGTCTATGTGATAGTCAAGTATGCTGTCGGCGCCGCAATGACGGAGATAAAGTAACCCAAACGGTGTTCGATTCTGCCAAAATCGCCAGCTGAACTACACGCATGAAGCCCTGTGACAGAGAGGCCAGCATAGGTGACGATGAGAGTACCTCTACGGCACACCTCCCTGCTTTCCGGAGTTCATGTAGATCAATGGGGTGGTAAAAAGGACAGCTCGAGTATTTAGAGCAACCACCGATGTACCCGCGGTCGACACACAACTACCCAACTCTAGATCAGTTGCTTCATAGGGACCGTCCGATCAAGATGTCTTCATCTCCAAAGAAAGAAACAAGGACATCTTCCAACAGGAAAGCTAACTCTACACTAGTATTCACGGTATGAGTCGCCAGTTACACAATAATCGATTGGATATACAACGAGAGTCTTTATCTCCCGATATCGTTATCGTCGTGTCGATGGTTGCAATGGGGAGAACATGTCCATCATAGCCGCCGGCAGTTGATGCCTTATTCAATCTATATCGCGTCAGGACTTAGATACCTGTTCGCGTTATACATCATATCCGCCGGCAACAACGATATAGCCTACTTAGATGTAATCACACAACTTTCGGCGGATGGAAGGCCGACGCATAAGCCCATTCATGCCTCAATACCAAGTAACAGAGGCTTCACCCTGAAGATTCCGTTGCGGTGACGGCACTATTTCACAATGTGATTACTACAGGGAGCCATGATACTTCTCTCGCCGCCCATCCAACCACACACGGAGTCGAAGAGAGACGAGCATCAAAAGTACACAGAGCCCAGCAACGCACAGTAAGGAACACGGTACAAGCCACAAATTTCCGCATGCCCCTTCCCGACGCGGAGACCAAAATACCTCGACGCATTCGTCCTTGATGCGCCCTCACGATGGCTTTGGCCCATTGAGGTCCAAGCAACGTTGACCGCCAGCGCCTGACACCTGCGTGTTGAAGCCCGATTGACAAGGATGGCAGCTGTGAGAAAAGCTTGACTCATAGTCCGGTGGATCGGTACCTTGCACCGCTGACCTTGACTTGCATGAACAAGCACACGCATTCTCTCTCACTCTTTTTTTTCTTCCTTCCCTTTCCTTTTGGCTCCTTGGAATACAACATGGTCGACAGTGCTACCTTGATGCCCAGCCAGTGGGGGCCGCCCAATTGGTGTCGAGAAAGCGCCCTTCTCCGTCCCAAGGAGATGCCCTGCAGGAGCTGTCACCCAAGGCGACATGCCAGGCGGA